ACCTTCGAAGACACGGGACTGACACGTCAGTGGGCACTTCTACACAAGCTCATCACGACGAATTTGAACAATTGCGGTACAATGGAAGCGTACGTGAATCGGATGGTTTCAAAAGCGTTTCAGCTAATTGGAATCGGATTCCCGTTGGATGACAAATGGATCGGAATGCTGCTGCTGGCTGGCTTGCCTTGAAAATTCGGGAATCGAAATCACGGGTGACATCATCAAAACCAAGTTGCTCCAGGAGACGAATTGGTCAGCGCCTACTACGGGACCAGCTCTACACCCACGCCCCGGTTGTCCGTCATAGTTCCTTGCGGCATCTGTTTGCAGATAGACCACATGGATGCTATCACAGATTTCCCCCAAGGTGAGCTTTCGGAGGATATATACATGGAGCAACCCCCTTGCTTCGTGGATGGGCAGAATCAAGCCAAGGTATGCCGTCTCAATAAGGCCCTATATGGCCTGAAACAATCTAGCCGGGTCTGGAATATGAAGCTGGATGCCGCACTTCGAAAATTTGGACTCGAGTGCACCGTGCGTATACTACAAGATCGTCGGAGATAAAGTGCTCTTCATGGCGGTGTACGTGGATGACGTTCTCATCTTCACAAACTGCAAGCGCTGGAAGAAAGAGATGAAAACAAAATCTAGCCAGGAGTTCAAGATGAAGGACATGGGTCCGGCCAAACCCGCTTTGGGAATCCGAATCACAAAGACCGAGTCGGGGGGACCACGAGTCGTACGTGGAGGCGGTATTAAGCAGATTCAACATGACGAACTGCAAATCGGTGAGCGCACCGATGAACGTGAGCGATAAGTTGACGAAGAACATGTGTCCGTCAACTGCGGAGGAGACTGAAGCAATGAAGAATGTACCGTACCGAGAAGCTGTCGGATGCCTCATGTACTTGGCCCAAAGTACACGCCCCGACATATGTTACGCAGTGAACGTTTTGAGCCGTTTCAATTCCAACCCTGGTGAAAGGCACTGGAACGCGATGAAACACTTATTGCGTTATTTGAGGGGCACATCGGAATGCCGTTTGGCGTACCGCAAAAATGAAAATTCGACGAGTGAAGACTTTTCCGATGCTGATTGGGCATCTGACCACGAGGACAAAAAATCAACCACTGGGTACGTGTTCACCGCTCAAGGAGGAGCTATATCATGGAGCTGCAAGCGGCAACAAACCGTTGCTCTTTCAACTTGCGAAGCCGAGTACATGGCGCTATCGGCTGCAGTACAGGAGGCACTCTGGTGGAAACGATTGCAAGGCTTGTTCGAGGACGAAAAGCAGATCTTGATCCACTGCGACAACCAAAGTGCCATAGGACAAAACATATTGACATACGTCACCATTTCATTCACGATGCTTTGGAAAGAGGAGATATCAACGTGGCGTATGTTAGTACGCTGGAGCAGACTGCTGATGGCCTTACGAAGCCGTTACCAGCTGCTAAATTGATTGCATTCCGTGAAGCGATGGGAATTCAAACACCAATGGGTTGAGGAGGAGTGATGAAATATATCGAAGCAATTTAACCGTTCAAGATAACACACGCGTTTTACTTTTACTCTACTGCTCATTAAAAAATCATCTAAGCCTCAGAAACCAGGACTTTGCTAACAGGATCCGCTCTCGCCCAGATTGTGCTACGCCCTTTTGGAAACTAACCAAAATTCTTAAAAAAAATAAGCCAAGACCCATTCCACCACTGACCCCACTGGATTGCTACGGCAACCCAGTGGTTCATCTGATAACTCCTGAAGAGAAGGCTGCCGCGATAGGTCAACACTTCGGCAGCTCCCATAATCTCGGACAAAACATCGTCAGCCCTCACGAAGCTGAGGTTGCTGAAAATGCAACCAATCTTCTTCAGACTCCTAACATTTTTCCAGAGGAATCCGTGATTACGGCTGACGAACTGTTGGCCAATATCAAATCATCTAAAAACATGAAGGCCCCAGGTTTCGACAACATCCTGAATCTGTAACTCAAACACTTGAGTTCCAGTTGCTACAACCATCTGGCATTGATTTTTAATCTTTGCCTCCGACTTGGCTACTTCCCCTCGTGCTGGAAGTCAGCTAAAGTCATACCCATCCGGACACCTGGGACGGATCCGTCCTCTCCTTCAACTTATCGACCAATCAGCCTTCTCTCAGAGTTATCAAAACTGTTCGAAAGAGCAGTCTACCACCGGCTCCTAACATCTGCCGAAGAAAACAACTTGTTACTCGAGGAATAGTTTGGTTTTCGGATAGGTCGCTCGACCAACAATCAATACTAAACTAACGATTTTAAATTGGCTCACTACTTTACAAGCCTATTGGTCCCAAGCAAACGATTAACGTACCCCATTCTAGTCGAAGTTCTAGTATTACGCATTTGTTGTTTTGATTCGCTTTGAAAGTTTGACAGATAAAATGAGGGGTTATTGGTTTTTCCTATGTTTCGAGGGGTGAATCGATTAGCTTGGGACCGAAGAGAGTATCAGAGCTGAGCCAAAAAAATCAGCACGTTATTTCGGGACCTTCTAGTCTTAGAGTTACCTCTATGGTTCGACCGTCCACCAGCTGATTCGAGTAACAAACATTCTCAGACGGAACAAGTCTGTTTCGAAAACATCTGCCTTGGCGTTGTTGGACGTTGAAAAAGCGTTTGACAATGTCTGGCCTGATGGCCTGGTGTTCAAATTACAGCACTACGGTCTTCCAATCTTCCTAGTGAAGACAATTAACAACTATCTATCGAACAGGACGTTCCGAGCATCCTTGGCCCCCTTATTCACCTCCGATATTCCGGCTCTCCCTGATGGTGGATCGTTGTCTCTGTTTGCAGATGACATATTCATCGTAGGGTAGGGTCATCGGAGCTCTGGCCTGGGCGAATATTTCAACAGCTGGAAGATCCGTATCAACGCGGCAAAGACCCTGGTCATCATCTTTCCACACTCTAAATCTCCCAGACTTGAATAATAAGGTCTGCCTCAACGCACAGTGATGGAATGGTCGAAAGAGGTAGCCTACCTCGGCTTAACACTAGACAGCAAGCTGAGTTTCAAGGAGCACGTTGACAAAACCAAAACCAAGTGTAACGTCTTGATAAGATCACTGTATCCACTCATCAACAGGAGGTCTACCGTATGCGTGGTAATGTTTGCACCATCGTACAAATAAGGTTCCCGTTTCACCTGTGCATACAATGCCTTGGTTTTCTTTGCATGCACGTAACCTATAGCTCATACCGTAGTAGGCTGTGTATAAAATAAAATGATTGACTTAGTTTGACAGTTGCACCATGACGAAGTATTCGTGATTTGTGCAACGCGCAAATGTCGCAAAAAGACATTTCAATCGCCGTGGGAGTGTCCCGGTGGACCGTCAAAAGGGGTTTAGACCGAGAAAAGAAAGGACAACTATCCGCGAATTCACAGGTCGTCCGCGGTCAGCTCGGGTTCCGAGGGTTATCGCTGCTATCAAAAGGAAGATTCGGGTGAATCCAGTGCGTTCAATAAGGAAAATGGCAAAGGAACACGGGATCAGTGACTTTACGGCACCGAAGATCGCAAAGAAAGATTACCAACCGCATCCGGGAGCTACGAGTCGAACGATGAAAGAAAATCTTGAACTTCCTTAAGCGAAAAAAATCCGGAATCCTGTTCACCGACGAGAGCATGTTTACCGTCGATCCCGTATCAAATTCCAGAACCGACCGGTATATTAGTTCTCTTCCGGTAAAAGACGTGTCCGTCGAGCACAAGAACGTGTATCTGATCAAGCATCCTGCTAGCGTTATGGTGTTTGGATTGGTGGCTTCCGATGGCAAAAAAAAAATGGACCCGGTGTTCATTCCAGAAGGCGACAAGGTCAACACTGAGGTCTACATCGGGATTTTAAGTAAGTATGTTCTTCCGTGGATCAAAAAACAGTACGGTCCGAAGCCAAATGTTGTATTTCAACAAGATGGGGCTCCGTGCCACACCTCGAACCGCACTAAGAAGTGGTTGCAGGCGAAGGATATGTGGTCGCCATCCAGCCCCGATCATAATCCGCTGGATTACTCAATATGGTGCGTCATGAAGGCCAAGGCCTGTTCTAATCGCCACCCGAGTACAGCAAGCTTCAGAAAAACATTGACCCGTACCTGGAGAGAAATGGATCCAGACTACATTATTAGAACCTGCCGTGCATTCCGGAAGCGTGTGGAGGCCGTAATTGCAGCAAGTGGAAACTCGATCGATGATTAACATAGTTTAAGACTCTGAGAAACATCCCCGGTTTGAATAAATAAAAAAACTCGAAACAAATCATCCTTCCCGCAATAGAATACGGGATGCCAATCTGGGAGAGTTGTGCCAAATGCCATCACCTTAAACTCCAAAGGTTCCAGAACAAGATCCTTAGGATGATCCTAAACAGTCCCCCGCGGAATAGAAAGTCTGTGATCCACCTCCTGGCTGGAATTCAGACATTAGAAGAACGGAGAGTATTCATCCTGGAAAGTTTCAGAGACACCTGTCTGAGATCAAATCATCAGATCATGCGTGATCTAGCACGTTAGGTTAAGTTATACTCGTAGTTAGATAGGTTTTCAATAGGGGTATTCTGTAAACTAGTTGAAAAACGCAAATATTAAATTATCAAACGAAACAAAAATGAAGAGCCAGGTAGGCTAATCAAATAAAATGTTCAATCAATGTACTATCATAATCAACAGAAATAAATTTAATTTTACTACTACTACATTACCGGATCTGTTCATGCGGTAAAACATGCTTTTTATGTAAATCTGTAATTGAATCTGACATTTCCCGGTTGGGTGTAGGTTGGTCAATTTAGGTATTTTTTAAAAGAATAGTTTCGAGCTAACTGTTCTTCCTGGTTTTGTGATTCAACTTTTGAAAAATTGAATTAAAAATAATTTAAAATAGTATCTTAACCCGACAGTTAAACCTACCTTACCAGAATAATGATTTATTTCGTACAATACCTTGAGTACGCCCGTGGATATAGGATCGCTCGCGCGTACGAATGCAGCGACAGGTAAAATTGACAGTTGGGTCGAAGCCTCCGAAGAATGTCCCGTAAATTGCAGGTTTCCTGCTCGGAAAATGGCCGTTCGCCCCGATACAGCAGTGAACAGGACCGTGGTGTTCCAATTCCCCACGAAACGTTGAAATTTCTGTTGCAATCCACTCCAACGCATCGGCTCACTCCCAGGGGCCGTCTCGTCTTGCGCCACATTTTGTTCTGGAAAATGTAATAATTTTACCTTTGGCTGAAACAGAACGGAGAAATAGACGGTGGAGCTTTACATGTTGTCGGCTGTACTCGTAGCCATCGGGATTCAACAGGGGCAGAACGATCCAGTCGAAATTCCGCAACACCCGTGAGTTGATTGCATCCCGCTCGACCAGCTGATGGACCACGTACAGAGCCACCGATATTGTAATCCATTCCCGGGCGTGAATTCCGGCATCTATCAGTACACAGAATCGGCCGGTCTTTTTCCGCTGGACGTCCGAACTGATGCGAACGGTTTGTATTTCACGTCCCTCGTACGAGCTGGCACGGGTGAAAATTTCGACCTTATTTGCATAATTTTGCACTAAATCCGTCAAGTATTGGTTCACTTCGTCGTGGCTTAAATACTGCTTGAAGATTGCGGTCCGGTCGTAGTTCATTTTACTGTAGGATTTTACACCCCATCGTCGTTGCACGCAAAATTTCACACGATTGCCTTCGATTGTAAATATATCAAAATTGATTGTAAAACGATTGCCTACTTATTGAGTGTCGATCCGAATGTTTGATTTTTATATGATCGGTACTTAAAATCTACATTTTGTGGCAGTGAGTCCTTGCATTAGCAACGACGAGCACAGCAGAGCGCCGTGCAGAGGAATTCGAAAAATGTGTTGTCACGTGGCAGTCTATTGGTATACTAACCACCACCAGAGAGGGCGAGGCGAGCCGATGCGTTGCGGTAAGGGATGAAATTGAACGATTTCCTGTGGGCCGTAATCCAACATAATAGCAGGTGGAGACAACATAACAAGAAACTTATGTTTTATTTTGGGGACAAGTTCACATAATGGGAGTACGGGTGGCGCGCCATTCTGGAAAAGCTGTTTTTACGGAATAAAATTTATTCACATGAAGGCTGCTACTTAGATAGTTTTTTGGATATAAAGTCTGGAACGCGTCATAAAGTCTGGAACGCGCAAAAATTGGTCAACTTCAAATTGGTGTATTTCTTTTAAAAATGCATAAAAAACCCTGAAATGCTGCATTTGGAAGTTGAGTGTATATACAATGGTAGCTATAATGAGTTTTCACCGTTTGCTCTCCAGTTTTCAAAATGACATCCAAACAAGAGGAGCAGCGTGTCAAATTTTGCTCGCGCAGCAGGAGAATCCGACGTTTTCACACGAAACTTATGTGAAGGCGGGTTTCAAGCAGCTTCCGGGACAGGAGGTTTATACCGCATCAGGAAGAGGGAAGGTGGCTGAAATTTTCGAAACCATGAAACTATTGAATTTCCCAGGCCATAATACGTGTTGTCTAAAAAGCGGCATTTTCATTACAACGGGAACCATCAATCAAGAGATCTACGTCCAGGAGTGCCTGGAAAAGCGGCTGTTACCATTTCTGAAGCAACATAATAGACCTGTGCTGTTCTGGTCGGACTTGGCGAGCTGTCACTATGGGAAAAAGGCAATCGAGTGGTACGATGCGAACAACGTGGTTGTGGTACTCAAAGACCACAACTCTCCCCACCGGCCCAGAACTCCGCCCTATCGAACGGTATTGGGCCTTGGTCAAACGGAATCTAAAAAAAAACTAATAAATCCATGGAAAACGAGCTGCAGTTTAAATCTGTTCGACGGTGAATAAGGTCGATGAGACCACTGTGCAAAATTATATGGAAGGGGTTAAGCGGAAGGCACGGCAGTTCGGATTCGGCAAACCAAAAGAATAAACTAACATTTTTTCCCTTTAAATATATGAATTGAACTACCAAAAGAAATATAAGAAGATTTTTGTGATATGAATTTTGACTGAAAGAAACGATTTTTTTGTCGACCAATTTTTGCGCGTTCCAGTCTTTATATAAAGCCTGGCCCACCTAGTAAAGGAATAACATGATGTGGGTCTATTTCGGATTCGAATTAAAGGATTTGGAAACGGTTTTCTTTCAAGTGCATAGATACACCCAACCGGTGGATGTAAGATTCGCTTACAATTATGTGGGATTCATCATCAGAGGATGTAAGTGGAGACCGCATGAACCGAGGATGCGATATACCTAGCTGCGGTCCGATGTAAGAAAATTGGAGACCGAAAAATGTGGAGTGTATTAGTGAGTGAAATTAATTATGTCGAAAAAAATAGAAAAAAGGTTGCCGACTGGACCCGTAGAACCACGGACGTTGCGACTAACAGACCTGTGCTTTCTCCACTGCTCTCTCCTTGCTTCAGAATATGGACAGCCTAAAAGCAAAGATGAAGCGCTCATTTTCTCGCATGCTCGACTTCGTATGCTTTTTCTGCTGGAGAGATTCGAGACAAGTGTGTGCGTCGTTCTACAATGTTGTACAATGTGCGTCGTTCTACAAGCTTACTGGTATAGTCGAAAGCGTAGATGGAACACGAAATAAAAAAAGACAAAAAACCATTACATCGCCTGCATGGTCAATTTCTAACATTCGTTGCGATGTTCATGAACAGAAGATGATAGGAAACGGAACTAACATTCGTTGTATTAGATTTTTGGTTTGCGTGTACTATTCCTTATATTTTAAGAAAAAAATACGAAACGAATTATTCGTCGCGATTTCGAAGGAATTCTCGAATTTTTCCCTTAATACGACCCATCAAGCGGCGCACAACGGTCTCGTTCACTGTTTTGACGATTTTATACTTTTCTATGCCACAGAAGCGACACACATCATCTTGAAGTTTTCCAATCAGCTTCAAGTGATAACGGCTCGGACAATGACCTGTATATATGCTAAGATCTTTCTGAAAAATTTCCAGGATTTAATGGGTCACAGAAATGTTTGGATTAATGAATCGCTTCGACTGCCTAGCAATGAAGTGTTCTTCTAGTTTTCCTCCACTTTTTGAAGATACCCACGCTTTTAGCTCCACTCTAAGAGATGCAGCCGATAAGCCACAAAAGGGCGCTGGCCCTATGAACTTATAAGAAGATCCGAGTCTTGCTAATGCATCAGCTCTTTCATTTCCGTCAATCCCGTAATGACCACACGCAAACCAAAAATCTATTACAATGAATGTTAGTTCTATTTCCTATCATCCTCTGTTCATGAACATCGCAGCGAATGTTAGAAGTTGACCTTACAGGGGATGTAATGGTTTTTTGCCTTTTTTATTTCGTGTTCTGTCAGTGCTTTCACCTACACAAGCAAGCATTTGCCTTGATTTTTATGTATAACATGGTAGAACGACGCACACCCTTGCCGCGAATCTCTCCAGCAGAAAAAGCATACGAAGTCGAGTGTGAGAGGAAATGAGCGCTTATTGTTTGCTTTTAGGCTATCCTTATTCAGAAGCATGGAGAGAGCAGTGGAGAAAGCACAGGTCTGATAATCGCAACGTTCGTTGTTCGAGTCCAGTCGGCAACCTTTTTCCTATTTTTTTTTCGACATAATTAATTTACCTCACTAATACACTCTACATTTTTCGGTCTCCAATTTTCTTGCATGGACTGCAGCTAGGTATATCGCATCCTCGGTTCATGCGGTCTCCACTAACATCCTCTGATGATGAACCCCACATAATTGTAAGCGAATCTTGCATCCCCCGTTTGGGTGCAGGAACCCAATATAAGTTGACTTGATTATGACTACACCCAACCGAGGGATGTAAGATTCGCTTACAATTATGTGGGATTCATCATCAGAGGATGTTAGTGGAGACCGCATGAACCGAGGATGCGATATACCTAGCTGCGGTCCAATGCAAGAAAATTGAAGACCGAAAAATCTAGAGTGTATTAGTGAGGTGAATTAGTTGTGTCGAAAAAATAGGAATCCGATTGCCCACTGGACTCGAACCAAGAACGCTTCGATTATCAGACCTGTGCTTTCTCCACTGCTCTCTCCATGCTCCTGAAAATGGATAGCCTAAAAGCACACATGAAGCGCTCATTTTCTCGCATACTCGGCTTCGTATGCTTTTTCTGCTGGAGAGATTCGAGGCAAGTGTGTGCGTCGTTCTACAATGTTCTACAATGTGCGTCGTTCTACAAGCTTACTGGTATAGTCGAAAGCGTAGATAGAACACGAAATGAAAAAGACAAAAAACCATTACATCGCCTGTAAGGTCAACTTCTAACATTCGCTGCGATGTTCATGAACAGAGGATGATAGGAAACGGAACTAACATTCATTGTAACAGATTTTTGGTTTGCGTGCAGGGCTGGTAGTAGGTCACTTTTTAGTGACTTGGTCACTATTTTCAAGTCAGTCACTAAAAAGTCACTTTTTTCATCAAAAAGTCACTAATACCTTGTTCATATTACAGCCTATATCACGTAATATAAGCTGTCTTTCAATGAGCACTCATACATAGCATTTCCAGTGAAAACTAGATGTATGAGTGCTCATTGCAAGACAGCGTATATCACGTGATATACGCTGTAATGTGAACGGGGTATAAAGTCACTATTCCTTAAAATTTAGTCACTAAAGTCACTTTTTTACGACCAATGTTGAGAGTAAATAATTTGACTTTGAAAACTCAGAATAAAGTCTGACAAGAAGAGTTGCGAAAATATGGAAACGTTTACTGTTCAAGAAATCTAACATTTGAGTGATTCACATAGAAATCAATTGATTTTCACGAAAACTTCATCGGACTTTCCGATAATCTTCAAATTGGCATCACTTAAAAGTTACGGGAATTAGCAAGTAGATGTTACTGGATTTTGCAGTAATGATAAAGCGAACATTGGTGATGGACTATACATATATATTTCGATTTATTTGTGTCATTAAATGATTGCATTCTAGAAAAATTGAATTTTTCTCATATTCTGCAATTTTAATTTTTAATTTATATATGAGTGGTAATTTATAAAAATTATAAGACTTACACTTGAAAACAGAAGATGTCTGGGAATTCCAACTCGTCCAACAACGACGAATGCGCACTTTCTTCCATCGCCATTTTCGAATTACGAATACGACGAGAAAATTTTCATACCATGAAATCACGAAAAACTTAGGAGAATTTCACTTAACCTTCACCAGCATGACATGTGGACTGGACCAGTGAATCCAGTGGAATTCATTACCATGGCATTGAAGTTCTAGTTTGAAGAGGTTCAATGTATAATGTCAAAAAATGATCTAGGAAAATTTTCAAGCTCTCAACATTTGTTCAAAGGCCAGAAATTTAAAAAATCTTTGACCCTCGGTAGCTTTAGTATCCGTCCAAACTTCGAGAAAAAATCATGTCACAGATCTTTGAGTTCTTTTTTAAGTCCATTAAATTGTATTGTATTTTTTCCATACTAATATTCCGGTAATACAAAAACAAAAATTCCAAGTCCAGGTCTTAGATTTTTTTAAAAGATTTTAAAATGTATTCCTAAATCTCCAATTTGTCATGATCGAGATTTTAAGTCCTAGATGCATTCAATTGTGTTTATGTCCGTGACCATTCT